CTTTTCTCCTCCCAAACATCTCCCTGCTTGTGAGAGGAAGAAGGAATTGCAGAAGAGCAGCGTGCTGAGTGTGGAGGGAGTGAAGCTTGTCTGTACCTCTGAAAGGCACAGCACCTGAGCTGATGAGAACAAAGTCTGTGGAGTGATTGCACTGGGCACTGTGATTGCATGGAGGGAGGGAAAAGGAGAGGAGGAAAAGTAATGCAAAAATGACACCGTGTTCTGTACCCAAAGGTGCAGGGGGAATGCCTGGAGAGTATAAAAAATAGCTGTAAAGTTGAGTTTGGACTTCTGGGGGTTCCTGACTTTTACTTACCTTGGAGTTGTGTTTCTTGTTATGACACGTGATTTAGGGAGAATAAACATGGGGCAGGAAGGATTACTAGGAGAGAACTAACAGCAGGCAGATGTGCTGACTGCTATGAAAAAAAACGGGTCCTGGTTTAGAATTCTTAGTTGTTCTTAGCAGTCTGTCAGTGTCTGGACAGCTCAAATGAAAGTAAGTCAGGATTACAGGACTAGTTTCACAGATATTTTGCTTGTTTTGGCTACATCCCAAGGAAGTTTTCATGTTACACTGGCTGTGAAAGTTGATTTGTGGAGGGTGGAGAAAAAAAAATGTAGTTTGTTGTGTAGCCTTGTTAAATGAATGACAAATATTTAGTAGCTGAAACAGCAGATCAGCACCAATCTATTTTCTGTATTTTAAAGATTTGAAAATATTTATTTGAAACAGCTTCCTAATAGTTAGAGACCCTTATTTTGATATACAAGAAAGGCATTTGAATAACAGTTAGCATTACTTGTAAGGTGATATTTAGGTGGCAAATAAAAGGTGAGATCTTATCAAACATTCCCCTCAAACAGAAACTGCTGGAACTGAGTGCTCTCTGTGAGTCAGCCTGTACACCAGTTACCTACACTGACTCAGTTGTGAAGAGCAGCAGCCAAATCATACTTAGAGAAAAAAAATATTCAAGGCAAACTGGTCGAACTGAGTTGCTTTTTTTCACCTGTATGCTCTTCCAATCTACTGGGGGGACGGGGAAGTCTTTTAAACTGAAGTTGTCAGTCTGCAGCTGACAAAAGCAAAGGAAGGAAACACACCAGGACCGAGTCAGCTGGAGGTTGTCATTCCTTCCCTTCATCGTTGCTGACTTTTTCTGGGTCAGATCAGGGCTCTGCTACTTTGCTTTCAGACGTTTTCCCTCTGTAAGCTCATAGATTTCTATGGTACGTGTTTGGCATCTGTGGTAGAAACCTTAAAGCTGATTTTCCCCACTGCAGTTTTGCTCTGCTCCCCACAGAATGGTGGTCCATACATATTGTTGCTTTGGTTTTCCTCCTGAGAAGCTCTCAGAGTTGGCTCCCTCCTCGCACACCCTTCAGTGTCAGCCGGTAAGTCCCTTGGCTGTAGGGCTGCCTGGAGGGGTCTCTCCAGCAGCAGCTTGTTGGCCTCATTTATGATTCCCTGCTTAGCCACAAAGAGCTGGTAACAGGATTCAGTCTGGTTGGTCAATCTGTCTGTTCTGGGCAGTTCCTTGTTCCCAGTCAGATGGGAAATTGTGCTGCTGGTCAGAGTTGCCAAATGGTGCTCTCAGACAGCTGCTGCTCCCAGCCCCGGGGGCAGAGGGGTGACAGATAACACTGTCATGTGTCTGATCTGATTTAGTGTTTCCTCAGGGACCTTTACCATTGCCTTGGTGATATAAATGCCCTAAAAAGCTGACAGTGGTGCTCTGAGAGCTCACTTTTCGTGGGTGGGCTCCCCGCATGGTGTGGGGCTGGCACAGGGCCGTGTCAGCCCTCTTGCCCGAGGGCACTGCCAGGGCCAGCAGCCAGGCTGCAGTGGCCTGGAAATGCTCTCTTCTGTCCCAGGCAGCTGAGAGAAACCTGCTGTTCTTTCCTCTGGTTTGCAGGACTCTCAAGGCTGAACACAGCTCAGCCTCTGGGAGTACTGCAAGTGCTTCAGTTCCTCTGGGCCATGGCTGTGCCTGTTTCTGGCTGTGCACAGAGCTTACAGGAGTTTACTGCAACTTAAAAACCACTTTGAGGAGCCCAAGTTTTCTCTACTTTGTTACTGGTTTGTTTTTTTTTTTTTCCAATTAATTTCTGAACATCTGTGAGATAACCTTGAGAGAGGCTTAGAGGAATAAAGAGGTTCTTGACAAACTGCTCTTATGTGGAATAAAAAAATACATTTTCTCTGAGATGAGAAGCATCTCCAGGAGATGCTTTTCTTACTCTTAAACAATGGGAAAGTAGTTTAGATAAATTGTTGTGTTTATCTTTCAACAATTATTACTGTAACTGCATTGTATCGGTGATGAATTTTTTGAGGTAGGGAGTCATATAATAAGGCAGCAGCTCAGTAAATGGAATAAAAAGAATTAGCATAGCAGTTGAAATCATAAAACATTAGAGAGAGAAATGCTAATAATGCAATGTTGGTTTAGTTGTGGAGGAGCTAAAATCTCACTGCTGTTCAGCTATAATGTACAAAACAAAGCCTTAATTTAAATTCCAAATTCCCTATCCAATTATGCATAGCAGGGTGGATTTGAATGTGTATTTTCCTGGGTATCAGATGTGTCTGATTTTTCTAGCTAATGATAGTTGTCAGCGTTCAGTTATCCTTTGTTTATGCAGATGTATAGCACCCTGATGCTTCTCCTGGCAGCCTGCAGAGAGCTGCTGCTGTCTCTGCCTAAAAGCCCATGGGATGGGGACAGCACAGGGGTGGAAACCTAGCCAGTGTTTTTGTTAATGATTTGGACAAAGACCTGGACAATGGGCTGTTTAAATCCTCAGAGGATTCCCACTCCTAAGTGGAGTGGAAATATGGTGGAGAATACAAAGCTCAGGATTTGAAGTCATCTTGTCAAACTGCAAGTGTAATCTGAAAAGCGTAAGAATTCATCAGCAGGTACAAATGCAGAGCACGGAGCTCAGGAATAGCGATGGCATGGGGAGAGCTGGCTCAGGGAAGGCACAGGAAAGGATGGCAGTTCCAGGGGAAGACTGGCAAAAGGAAAATCCTTTTGGGGGATGTGCATGGGATCTGTAGCCTGGGTGGGAGATGAGTGAGTTGTTCAGCATTACTAGGGCTTGTCCTAGAGGTTCAGGTGCCAAATCCTAGACCATTTGAGTACCAAAATCCAAGAAAGCTGTGCACCAATTGAGGATTGTGTAGAAAGGAAAAGAGAGTTGTTGAAAGTGTGAAAACGTGACCTCTGAGAAAAGATGAAGCAAATCAGTGTTCTTTGGCCTGAAAAGAGGATTGAGAGGATCCAGCCTTTGAACCTAATTACAGGCATTTGCAGTGTGGAAGGGAATGGCTTGTTCTGCCTGACTGCTGTTGGTAAAGCAAGAACCAACAGCCTTAAACTGAGGAAAATGCAGAGGTGCTCCCTAGGATTTTCCAAAGGTAAAGATACAGAAATGGATCTTCTATGGATTGCAAAGACTGAAATCTGTCAGGCTCTGAAGTCTTTAAGATCAGGCTGCAGAAATACATGTCAAGAATAATGCGCACAGCTGGTGGTGCCACAGGGCACAGAAAAGTGATCCTTCAGTGGAGAAGAGAAGCACAAGGAGACTGAGTGTAGGTGGCAGAATTTACTGTCTCTTGACACAGACTAGTCTTCCCAGAGTCACATATACACATCCCTGGCCCCCTCCCCAAAACTGGACCTTTTCTGCACCTCCTTGCATTTGGCAGCTTGATCTTAACAAAGAATCTGGAATTGCTGAATTGCTTGTGATGTCAGCAACCCCAGATCTCATGAGCTTGGCTCATTTGTCCCACCAACCAAACTAAAAGGCAGACAGTGAGTTATTAAAAACCAGGTTTATGAGCTGCTTATTGGAGAGGTAGAAAACTAACCAGACTCTGGTGGAGTTTGCATTCTACCTGCTCTGTGCTGGGGTGTGCTTGCAAATCTGCTGCAGGCATGAGGGCTGTGTGCTCCCAGGGAGCTGATGCTCCCTTAAATTGAGTGAAGTAGCTACTGCTGCTTTAGAATTCTTATGCTGGCTATTTCCTCTGTGCCTGCCTGCTTATTAGGTAAGCTGGATTTACTGTTTTATTAGGTGAGTACCTTTTGAAAGGTCCTTTCTGGCAGAAGACGAATATTTGCTGAAATAAATGAAGTCTGCACTTTCCATTTAATGGATAAAGTGTATAGTTCTTCAGGCTTTTGGTATTAGAGATTTTCTTTTGTTACCTCTTTATACAAGCTGAACAGTATTTCTGGTTTTTCAGTGAAGGTTCTGACTCTTTAAGGTCGCTGTAAGGACTGTCTATCAGATTCTATATTTAAAATTTATTATGAAATAGCTAAATGGCTATAAAATGCATAAGAATCTCTGCTGGACAAGCTATTCTCTGAAATACTTCAATGTGTTGCTACTGTTTCACTCTGTCAATGTATTTGGATGTGGTAAAGAAGATACAATATCTTTCCTATGTTGATAGTTACCTGCACTGTAAATTCATAAAAGTACAAAGAAACAGGATTTTGAAAGCAGAACCACAACATTATGTGCTTCAGAGCTCCCTGGGAAGGATATGGGAAATTCAGGCTGCCTTTCACTCTGCAGTTGGTCCTGAGATAAAGTCACTAGGTGGGGGGGAGTAACTCTGTAATTACTAGTGAGGAGTAGATGACATCAAGGTAACGTGGTTTTTAATCCTAAATTGGTTTGGACCAGGAATCCTTTTAAGTTAAAACCAAATGGTTTGGAGTTGGTGAGAAGTTCAGCTGTCCAGGGATAGGAAAAGGATTCACTTTGGCTTTCTTCTGCAGGTCAGTGGAAGAATTGCTTTAAGTTTTTGACTTGCCAAAACCAGCCTCAATTGCACTGAAGTAAAACCTTAATGTTGAAATACCTGATGGGATCACGTGTCAGAATGTGAGCTCAATCTCCACGTGGAAGGGCTCCTTCCATGTCCATTGCTGTGCTTTTGACTCACCTTGTCCAGTCGTGTTTCCTCAGCCTTGCATGAAGTCCCCTCATTCCTCTGGGAATGCCATCACTCTGGGCAGTGCATGGCATGTCCTCAAACAAGGCCCTGGAGTCATTTCAAACAAGCACCTGTGTTTGTCAGCAGTCATTCATCTGGGTACAGTCCTTTTTTAGGTGGGACACTGAACTGATTTCTAATTTCCCCTAGAATAGGATTTAGAACAGGTTTGGTTATAAACTTTTTAAAAATGTTGGGATTTTAAACATTTAAAAAACCCTGAATGACCATTACCTCCTGCCTCAGTTGGAATTAGAAATTTCTTGACTTTTCATGTTTTCCTGGAAAACTTCTTGATCTTCTCAGTGGGTTTGTACTGCCACTTCTTACACTTCCAAGCTGATCACTGTATCTTCTTCCAGTATTTGCCAAATCTTGCTGCCAGTTGCCTGGTTTGAATTTTCCCAATTCTGTCTTCTTGTCTTCAGATAGCACACAGAATTTCAGCTTCTCATTCAGGTGGGAAGGGCTGAAAAAGAGGAGAAGAAGACATTGTAGTCCTTTCTTCGAGTCCCCAGCCCTTCATCCTTTCTCCTCAGGTGCAGGCTCTGCACAGCCCGGTGCAGATCCCTGAGCTCCCTGTTTTGTTAGGGAACAGCAAAGCATCAGGTTCTCAGTAACCTGGGGTGTGCAAAGACTAGTTTGGAGAAGTCACATCTTCCTCTTCCCCGAGGAAGAAAGTATTTTTTCTGAACCAGTTTTTCCTCTGGTTCTACTGTAGTTTTAACCCACCCATTTTTCTAGTAGAAATAGCTAAGCTGCAGTAACAGTACAAAAGTGACTGACACTGCTGAATTATGATCAATGTATCAATGACCTATTTGATAATTAATCAGCAAGAGCTAAAATAAGGCATTGCTGCGGCTTTTATAGTTGTGGAAAACATTCTTACTCCTATAATTGCTATTCCAATCTGTACTCTTAGTCTTACTCATTGTTTTGTTGATTCATTATTTTAAAAAAAACCAAACAGCTAATCCAACTGTAGCCTATTGCTAAAAATAGACTGTTTAAGCAGTGCTGGTTTTTACAGGATGTTCTGTCTTGTTTCTCCATTTTTCTCTTTCTAAAATGAATTTTTTTTTTTTGTTTATCTTCCGAGGGTATCAGGAGTCACAACTAAGCCATGATGTGCACAGTTGAAGTTCCCTCCCCCTGATTTTCATTTTAAATATTTTTCTAGAACAAAAATCTTGGAAGGATTTAGTTTGCTACTTATTTCAGGAGAAGCTCATTCTGGGAAAAAGGGAGAGATACCTTCTTTTCCTGGTAATAAATTCATCTACAGACTGAAGTAAATCCCTCTCCTGCCTGCTCACTGGTAAAAAAAGGGAATGGCCATCTTTGCTAATTATTGGTCAAGTTTGATTTCATTTAAAGGAAAGATTACAGAGCTGTTTCATGAAACAAAAATGCTTGTAAACCTTAGATTCTGATTGAATGAATGTGATCAAATCTCTTAGTCAGAAGCCTTTGGAAAATGGGTGGTCACTGGGCAAACAGCTTGAAATTTGCCTTTCTTCCATGTTAGACTGAAAAAGGGACAAAAGCTGCTCTTGGCATTTCTTTTCATTCCTTTGTAGAGGGCAACAACAAGAGGAGGCTGTTTGGAGGGTTATCCCTGTTCCTCTGAGCAGCACCAGCTCAAAGCAATCAGGGATGGGGCTAAAAGGGGACCAGCACTGGCTGGTTTAACACAAGTAAAAGACATCCTAGACTCTGAAGAAAGTAACGTTTAAGCAAAAGCCTCTTTAAAGCCAGCAAAAGGAACTGTTGTATCTCTTTATTCTTCTCCTGTCTTCTACACTCATATTCCCCTGTAATGGCAAAAGCTTGAAAATCTAATTAAATAACTCTCTCAGCATAACTTTTTGATCAGGTAAAATGAATCCTGTGAGGGCTAGAGAAGCACAGCTGACAATAAATGAGCTAATCATTCATTTAACACTCCTCTAACCTACACAGAGATTTAATATCAAATCTTGAAGCACAGGATGAAGAAGGGTGAGTGTCAACACCTTGTACAATATTTTGCTGTGTGTTGGTCACAGCTGTGCTCTTTGCATCACAATTTTGGAGTCAAGCTCTGAAAAACACAGTACTTTTTTTTTGTTTGTTTTGTTTCAAGACTACAAGGCTTTTATGCTGTTGGAGTTACTGAGAAACAGTAAAATATGCTTAAAAGGGCATCTTCTGTTGTATTTGTGTATTTATGTATTTACTGAAGAGAAGGTGTGCTTTGTAGAGTAGCAAGCACTTTTTAAATTGCTTTTTGAGGCCTTTTTGGCTTACTTGCAATTCCTTCTCGTGCCTTTTGGATGGAATTATTTATTAGCCTTGACAGTCGCATCTGTGGCGCTATATAGATGTTACAGAGAACACGAAGCAAACGGACAGAGCTGTGCCATTGAGATAAAGCCTCACAAATCAATTAGGGTTTTGTTGCCAGCAGTGCTGGAGAGGGAAAGCCCCACTTGACTACACTCACTCGGCAACGAGGAAAACTGTTACCTGGAAGTGGTGTGATGATAATTGCTGATTTGCACATCGGTACTGCCTGAAGAATTAAATAGCAAAGGGCTGGAGGGGAGAGGGGGCTGAAAGCTGTGCCTTTTCTCCTCCAGAGCATTTATGTAACAAATTGTTATTAACAGGTCCCTGCTAGTGAGTTTTTTATTTAGATTTAATATTAAACAAAGCACCTGTGCACAAGCCCCAGGAGCCACTTTGGCAGTAATTAGATTTGCAATTGCTGCCCAGCAGTGCAGAGACAAATGTACCAATAAATAAACTCTGCCAGCCAGCGCCGGCAAAACCACTGATTCAGCCCAGCAGACGAAAATGGAAGAATTTTACCCAAGCCTTGAATTTCCAGAGCTGTCCAGGAACAGGCATTCGGCCTTTTTTGGAGCAATCTGGCCAGAGGCTGGTGTGATATGTGTAGTTGTACTCTGTGCTGAAGCCAAGCAAATGATCGGTGTCACAGGCTGCAAAGACAGAGCAGTTCCTGGAAACAGAGAAGTGGGAATATTTAACATTTTCTTGCTATAAAGAAAAGTAAAGATTATCAGCAGGAAAGAAACGTTACTGACATTCTTAAAAATAGTGATACAGGGAAATTCATTCAGGTAAAAAACGGGAAAAAAGTACTTTCAAGTTAAATGTAAAGCAAATTTGGACAGTTGTTTCTCTGTTAGCTTCCCTGAGAATACAATGGAGTCCCTAGTTTACATGCAGGCAGAGCATACAAGTTATACATAGGTTAAAACTGGAGTATGGATGGTGGTTCTGTTTTCAAGCATAGAAAGTTAAAAAATATATAAACCATTTCTTACAATGTAAGACTTCTTTGAGATGTTTCCTTTAAGGCAGAGACTTTGTACTGTGGTCATAAATGAGGGAGCAGAGGAAGTGTGCTAACTGCGTGTGTTCATGGCTGAAGGCAAAGCCGAGGTAACTGAATTTCCTCAGCCCTCAGTAGAGGAAAAGAAGATCATTTGGGTGACCTTGTAGCTGCTGCAGGCTGAGAGTGAGTCCCCTAAACGAGCCTGTGCTCGTTTAGAAGCAAGAGCAAGGAAGGAAATGTAAAGAGCAGGTTGCTAGGGAATCGTGTCTCCTGGAGAGGGCACAGGAAGAGGCAGCGGCTCTGAGGGTGCCAAGGGGTGACTCTTGGAAACTGGTGTGCAGAGGAACACCAGGGAACTGCACTGTGCTGTGCATCAGGCAGGGCATGAGACAAATCCTCCTTTATCATGGCCTCAGCCATTAACAAAGTGGTTGCAACTTAGTTTGGGGAAATAGAAAGCGATACCTTGAGGGACCAGTGCATTCTTGTGACGCCCACGAGGAACGATGCAGAACAGTTATGGAGTAATGCTGGTTAAAGTGATAAATTTTAAATCCTATATTAGTTTAATTTCAATGGGAACTGGCACAAAACCTGCACTTTTTAAACAAAGTATCGCCTGACCACGCAGTAAATAAGTATCAAGTTCTTTGACTGCTCCTTTAACGTGGGTGTACTTACAGCTTCTCTTGTTTTGGGAACAGTAGCATTGGCTTCAATACAGTGTTTATGCTCCTGTTTTACTTGCAAATTCCTATAGTTTCTGAGAAAATTGGAAACAGAAAATTGCTATAGAGTGCAGATGCAAAATAAGACTGGAATTCATGATTTGAGTCAAGCTCTTATGTTCGGCAATTTAAAATTGTGATTACATCTGGTAATTGGAGCTGCTTTCCCTGCCTGCTTTTCTCTTCAGTCACTGTGGGTCTGTATTAACACGAATGTCTTAAGAAGGATTTCCTGTCATGGCTGGGGATCCATTTTGCTGCCTTCCTCTGGCACACTGGGGCTGATTTTAGCTGGAGGTGGGACACAAGGCTCTTGTAGGGGTGGCTCAAAGGATCCTTGTTCTGCTCTTTGCCTGACATTTTTGCTTCCATGTATCTGCTCAGCTTTGAGCATCATCTCTGAGTTGGAAGTGAATTTGCCCCACAGGGTTCTGACAGATCTCCACTTTTCTCTGAAGCCTGGGGAGCAGTTTTCTTGCTGGAATTGTCAGGGCTTATGTCACTCAATCACTTCCTTGCTACTACTGGCACCTCAGGAATAACTGTCTTGTTCCCTGTCTGGGAAACAGGTGCCTCCTGATAGCTGCTTTAGACTGAGTTCTCTGGGCTTTGTGCAGGGGAGTCAGAGGGAAACTAAAGGACAGTTGAATCTTTTCCCTTTGATTTTGTGAGAAGATACAAATGGAATAGAAAAATGGAGCAGAAAAGAGTTTAAAAAAAAAAACCCCAAACAACCAAACCACAGAAACAACAAACTTGTGTCCTTTGTGTTGAACCCTAAATAGCAGGTGGGCTGTATTGAACACCCATCAGTAAGATGTAATTCTAAGCTCTGAGACCTGGCACAGGCTGTCCAGGGCACTGGTGGTGTCCCTGGAGATATTTAAAGGATGGGTAGATGTGACACCTCGGGATGTGGTTTAGTGGTGAGCTTGGTGGTGCTGGATTAGTGGTTGGACTTGACCTCAAGGATCTTTTCTGAGGATGAAAATGCCATTGAAGAAAATACCAATCCTATCTGACCAGATAGGAGCCTGTCTTTGAGGCAATTTTGGACTTTCTCCAGTGTTTTTTTCCCCACAGTTGCTGTCAAGAGACAAATCAGGGATGTGTTACAACCTGTGTGGAAGCGCTGTGTTTTTTGGAAACCTGGAAATAAGAGCAAGGGTGGATCCCTGCTTTCGTGATTAGACAAGATGGACTGAAGTTTAAAGAAGAAATAGGCTCAAAGGACTGAAGTGATTAGTAGGGAAGGGCTGAATCTCAGGATTTTCATGTTTTACAAATGTCCAGATCCATGTGACTTTTTATTTTGTAATTTGTATATCAGGTGTTTGTGGTAGATGCCTCTAAGTTATGTCTATAAAAGCCACTCTGGGGCCAAGAGAAGGTGAC